GACGTGGGAACCGACTTGGGAGCCAGAGGAGAACGCCAACGACTTACTCGTCGCCCACTGGGCACAGGAGAAGGCGCGCATCTTGGCAGAAGTCCATCAGCAATATCCAGGAAGCGACAACGGACACCCAGAGCAACCACAGGAGGCACAAGCATCGAGGCGCATCCGCAATTCCCGTGTGGTTGACAGTAGCCCGGAGCCCAGCACCGCATCATCTACACCTTCGACGCCTCTCGACAATCGAGCCGACTCGGAGGGACTGCCCAGTGCCGCAGTGCCCGCAGCTCGTGCTTCGCCTCGCATCCAAATCGCTCGACGGGGCGACAGTCTCGAGAGGAACAACTACGTGCGCTTCTCGCAGACACCATCGTCTCAGCCAGCTCCGACCCCAGAGCCTACCCAGGACACCAATCTCGACAGCTCGCAGTTGTTCGCAGCACGCCCACGGCCCCATCTGTCAGACATAGTCCCCGACTCGCAGAGTTCCAGCGGTGAAGGAAGCTTCGTGCCCACGACTCAACGCACCGAGGACGTCAGCCAGCAGAGCACTGAAACGCACGAATCGCAAGTGGAGGAAGATCTTGCTGAAGACTCGGTATGACCAATCCCTCTCATACCCAGACATCAGTGCATTTGCTTACCAGTGTTCGCAGGGCCTACTTGAACTTATTGAAGAAGCAGCACAACACGCGTTGTCGCCTGCACGATCGATTCCCGAGACGATACCCGATACCACCGTAGCAGACTCGCAGAGCCAGCGGCAGAGACCTGAGGCAGAGTCGCAAGGTGCTCCGAACACACTCGAATTCGTACATATTTCCTCACAGGTGGAACACGAGTCGAGCCCAGAACCGGACGATAGTCTGCAGATTCAATATAGCGAAAACGATCAGGGTGTTGCACAAGACGAGCATCAAACAGTCGGAACCAACGAGCTTGGGGCGCCCCAGGCTGATCACGCCGCTTCGCAGACTCACTCAGCACAAAGCGCACGCGAGACTACCCCAAGCAAAGAGACCGGTACACTGGGCAAACACCCTCGTTTGGAATCAGCGGCTACGGAGATTACAAGGAATGCTTCGACTGAGGCTGTTGACACAAATGAAGTCCCGACCTCACTCAGTAAACCATCTACACTAGTCGAGAACAGCCAATCTCATCACACCGAAAGGCCCAACGTAGCTAGCCATACACAAGTCTCCGACGGTGGTAACGAGCCGTCGCAACATCAAGCTTTCCAGCAGATCAGCGTTTGCGACAGTCAACCAAGTCTAATTGAGCATTCGGTATTGGAAGACAACGAACAGTTTCCTTTCCAGTCGCAATACCCGTTTCGGCATTCTCAGCCTTCACAATCCGTATCTTGTATCAAGTCCTCAGAACACCTCCCACAAGCTTGCGCGACACCGGCCCTCCCAGAACGAGTACTTGCTGGGGTAAGTGTGCCAAGCGAATCCAATCCGGCGCCAGCGCTCGACCCACCTCACCCATCAGTCCAAGCATCCACTGCACCCCATCACCAAAATCACAACGACACGCTAGTGGAACTTCTCGAACCTGAAGCTACTCACAGCGTCTCACCGTCAGGCCAGCTTCAAGAAGAGCTATCTCTTCGGGATCAACTGCTGCACGCGTCATCAAGTCCAGAGCGCGTACAGAACGCGCAAGTAGTACCTCTTGAGGCAGATTTGAGCACACAGGAAGACACATCTGAGAGCATACGAGATACTATCGAAGAAGAGGTGGCGCATCGGGCTAGCTCTGAGTCTCGTCACGACTCATCGCAGGAATCGCCAGAACGCCCTTCCAGATCGCTGAATCACGAGACCTCGCCGGTTCCGTACCCACCCAGCTATTCGCTGCAAACGCAAGCATCTCGACTTCCATCACGGCCTTGTACGCCTGTTCCTACCTCATCGCTCTCAATCATGGCGGGCGAGGGTACCGGAGACATCATTAGGCGGCAGATGCAAGAAGCCATCGATAAGCGCATAGCAGAGTCTCGCCGTACTCCCAGAAGGCGTCCCAGGTCTTCGATGACGCCCTCAGTAGTGGAAAATGCGCCCGCAGCTACGCCTACGCCAGTGAGCAGGCTACGTGAGACGCAAGAGCCGGCAGAAGGCACTCGATCGCCTTCCGCTGTGCCAGACCGCTCCCCTCTTGCGCAAGCGCCGACGTCGCTCCGGAATATCGCCTATGCTCCTAGCAACGTGCAGCCAGAAGCTCCCGCACCAGATAAGGTCATGACTTCACCACCACGCAATCATCCAGAGCCTACTATCGCTGAAACGATAACGGTATCAGTGCCTATTGTACCGGTACCAAGATCTCCCACATCCGACGAGATGGAGGTCAGCGACGCAGATGATGAAGATAGCGAGAGCCTCTTCAATGATGATCTGCAGCTGGTAGACCAGGAGTTCATCGTGCCCTTGTATATCTCGGGTCGACAAAGGGATACGTACGCCCAGTACATCACCGCGAAGAGGGATCTGTTAGAGCCATTCCTTAAGGATCGTCACAGTCTCAACTCAGTCGAGGAGGTCAAAAACATCCTATCCCAGCTTCGCGCTATCGAGACGCACATGGACTTGGTCTTCGCTGAGGCTGAAACAAACGTTTTAGATGGTGAGGCGTCGGCAACGCAAGCAGAGCACGCAGCTAGATTTGGCTTGGAAAACTCCACCAAATTTAGATTTCTATCAGCGCTGTTCAATGAATTGCGGCATTGCGAGCCGCAGAAACACGTTGTATTGGTCACAGAGAGCGACAACGAGACACTCTTCCGCATCCTTGAGACGTTCTGTAAGACAACGTACATCAACTATACTATGCCTGGTAAAGATCGAAAGGCAAACCTGAAAGAGGTGGTAGGTAACTTGTCGGTCACCATCATCCCAAGCGATGCATCGCCCATCATACATGTTCCCGACCTGATCATCTGTCTCGACGGTGTACAAGACGCAGCACAGATTCGCAAAAAGAATTGGGCCAAATCACCCAATTGCGATGTGGTACCCGTGCTTCATCTAGTCATTCCGAGGACTGTCGGCCACATCGAACGGTACATAACGTCCAGCCTGGATCCCATCGATCACATGCACACTATCCTAGCGAGCCTGGCGCATGTTCATCCTGATGTTGGAAAAGCCATCGGTGAACGCACACCACGAGACGTTGAGTGCGCTGAATTAGTCTCCTACTGGATCAAGAACAGGATGGAAGGTGCTGATTGGCCATTGTCTTCTATCGGTAGTGTCAAGGACGTCATAGAGTATCAGACCCAACAGACGCAACAGTACTCAACGGATGCCCCTATACCTGAACGTAGCAAACGCCCTCTGGATGACGAAGATCTAGACCCTGCAAAGCGTATGCGGTTCACTCCCCAACCGCAGACAGTGCCTGCTTCTGCGGTGGATAAAGAGCACGAAGTCACGCATATTAGCGATTCTATGCCTGGCACTGCAGCTTACGATTCTGATCTGCGAACACAGCTAGCCCATGCGAAAGAAGGCCTTCGGGAAGAGCGAGAGGCTCGTAGAGCAGGTCAAAGGGACTTTGGTGAGCATAAGGATATGTGGGACAGGCAACAGACAGTGCATGAGGATCTGGCAAGCGAGCATCGCCGTGTAAAGAGAAGACTACAAGATGCCGAGGACAAAGTCGAGACGTTGACCAGGAACAACGCTACTCTCACCGAACGCCTCACGACGCGTACAACAGAAATGCGTGAGGTGAAGGAGAAGCTCAAGGAACAGCGGGAGACGGCCCTCCTTGGAGACGATGCACGACTTCAAGAGATCGCCAAGCTTCGCAACCAGCTCGACGAAGCGAACGAAAAGACGGAGCAGGCAGTGAAGAAGGCTGCGGCAGCAGAGCAGACGTTGGATTACATGAGAGAAAGCTTGCAGGATGCCCGGTCCACGGCCTCTACCGCCACCGCCCGCGTTGAAGAACTCGAGGCCCAGCACATCACACTTTCCAAGGCGGCTTCAGGTGACGCCACTAAGCGGAAGAGCATGCATATTGAAAGAGTCTATGATGATCAACAGCAACGTATCAAGAGGTTGGAAATGGAGCTGAGCATTACGAAGCGTACATTAATGACAAAAGACGATGAGATAGCTCGTCTCAAGAGTATGGGAGGTAGGCCTGGTGTAGGCACCAGAGGAACGAGTGCAACACCGCAGCCCAAGACCAGGAGTAGAGCAGCTAGTCCCACTTTCACTGGCGGGCGCCTTGCCAACTTGAGGAACAGCTAAGGTGCCTTGGGAATTCTTGAGGTTGATGGGCTCTGGATTTTGACCTGCTCTTGTTGAATGCGTTCAGACTTGGTGGGCATGTCATCTCGTCGGTGGTGTGGGCGACATGGGCAGAGAGGCCATATTGGTGACGGCGTATGACGGCTAAGACTACCAGGATACTGTACTTTCTCTCTCGACATGCCTTGAAATGAATATATCTACATTGCATACAATTCACTGTTCCTACACTATGCGCATGCTCTTGTGTTCATGACCTCGCGCCGACGACACCGGAGCTCATCACCGTTCCGACCACCTTTCAATCACCAGGTGCAGACCGAGAGAAGGTCACGCGTAGAAGATACTGCCCTCTTCACCGTCTTCGTCTGGCTGACTACAGCGTTGAGCTACGACGTATATGTCCTTTCAGGCCTCTTCCGCTTCTTCATTCGCAATATGCTAGACGATAGAGTGACCTCAACCACGACTCTGACCGACGAGTTCTGAATAAGATACTTTGAAGTTGTCTGCAACATTTACTTTCACAGACTTCGCCGCTCCAGTCACCGGCGAGCGTATCTTCACCACATACACTGTAATATCACGTTTCAACAGCTATCCGACTACAAGAACCTACCAGTCCCTCTAGCTACAACTCACCATCTAGCACAGTCACCGGATCCTCACACACAACCCGAGAAGCCAGACTCTACCCCACTAACAGCTTCCAAACAACGCCAAACTACACCTACCATGCCAGCTTTCCAAGGTGGCATTTTTGGGGGCTCAAACCCCTTCCGTCCTGGCGGTGGTCGCACAGGTGGCGGTGGAGGCCGACCGAGCCAGCCTCAACCGAACCCATATGATGACTACAACAATTCACCTCCCATGATGGGTGGCATGCGCAGTCCTGGACCCATGTACGGCGGCGGAATGGGCGGTCCCATGACAGGCGGCCAGACACACTCCTACTCCACATACCAAGACTCCGACGGCAACAGACACGAAGAAGGTTACGGTCCAGGCGGTCCATTCAGCAATTCTGTTCGCGGAGGAATGGGCATGGGACAAGGCCCACCACTACAAGGACGCCCAACCCCAGGAAGTCTTCTAGGCGGCCGAAACACCGGACCAGGCGCTTTCTCTTCTGGTTTCTGGAGCGGTCCCAACCCCTTCCGCAGTAATGGAGCCAACGGCGCACCCAATGGGCGCAGCGGACCCAACACCGGTCCCCGCGACCCTTCCTTCAGAATGGAAGTCGAGCCAGCACCTATGCCCCCATCCAACGGTCTCACAGCGGAAAACTCCGATCTCATAGCCGACTTCCTGGCAGAGCAAACACAGCCCCTGGGCGGACCCATCACACCCCCAAATGCAGAATGTCCGATTTGTCTGGAGCCGCCCAGCGCGTCGCATTTGTGTGTTCAGATTAAGAATATACCCGGGTGTAATCATCTTATTGGGAGGGAGTGTCTGAAAGAGATGTTGGTGAATCGGCCGGATGATGCGAAGAAGTGTCCGATTTGTAGGGCGGAGTTTCTGGCCGAGGATGGGATTTGGCAGGATTCGGAGCAGTTTCAGGAGTTGGGACGGGGAGGTCCGCCTGGGTATGGGGGTGGTGCTCCTATTGGGTATGGAGGTGGGATGTCGCCGAGACCTGCTGGATATGGTGGTGGTGGACCTCCTCAGGCTCCTCCTGGTTTTGGTCGTGGTGCTCCTCAGATGTCTCCACAGGCGCCCCGTCCGACACCTCGTCCAGCACCACCCAGTTATGCCAGTGCAGCTGCTTCACCCGCTCCCCCAGGTCCCCCAAGCTACATGGCAGCACCTCGTCCACCTCCAACACCTCGTGCTGCTCCTGGACCTAGTCCCCACGCCGCTCCTCCAGGTCTTCGCAACGCGATGCGCGGTGGAGCCAGGGTACACGGCATGGGTGATGTTGGTAGAGGACGGGGTAACGAGCAAGACGACGACGGTGGCATGCAAGGTGGTCCACCAATGATGAACCAGGACAGGTGGCCACCTGAGCCACGTGAACCCGAGAGCAACTTTGGTGGCCGTGGTCAACAGCTTGGCTACATGGACGAACGGCAGCTTTGGTAGAGCGTGGTCTGCATGGTGAACTACTTCAGACGGACAGCTCAGGCAGACTATGGTTTCTGGCTTACCAAGCCCCCGATAACCACGCATAAAACTACTTGAGAAAAAAACTTCAAGTCGAGCGCGAAGCGCACAAGATCCTGATGGTTAACGGTAGATACGATGCCGTTGAGCGTCTTATTTTGCTTTTCTTTCTTTTGTTTTCACCTGTGTGCTCGGGCCGAACACATCAGAGCATGGCATAGGGCTGGTATTCGCGAATGAGTTCCACACTATACGCGAGATTAATGTGGAATGGGTGTAGGCCCGATATCTAAAGTCAACATTCCGGTCAACGCCTGAAAATCACAGTAGCTGATCCAAATCCAAATCCAAATCCACATCTCTTGTGCAAACATTGGTTCATTCAAATCGTGGTACGCAGGGCGGTCGAAATAAGCTTTGCGACATATCCATCACGGTATCTGTCGCAATATTCGCGCAATTCGTGAAACCACACTAGACGATATTCCATATCGATTTTGTTAGTTGTGGGTGGGTGTATCAGGTACAACTGCGTCCGACCCTGGTGGCATCGGCTCATGCACCCTGCAGGGCGCGCCCTATTGATCGACCGCGAGATAAACTTACATGGTAGCGGTGAGCAGAAAAACATCGCTGCACTTGACGTTTTTCTTGTGTCGCATTTCGTGATTGATCATGCCGTGCGCTGCTTGGTGATTGACGTTGCTTTAGAGTTGACTGGACCGGATCGACAGATCCACAGCGGGAATAATGGTGTTGGTGTTGTTTGAGGAAATGGCGCACCTGCAGCGACATGGACATGTTCAAAAGCGCGTGCTGACAGTATGAGCCTAGCGTTGGGTTGAGGCAATATCGTGCATGGGAGGGTGGCTGTGTGCTTGATAGCGAGGTGCATGCAACCTCGGAAAGCACTTTCCGGATGCTGACATGGTGCAGGAAAGTGTGAAATCCCGTCCACGAAGGACGTTCTGCCAAGTCTTGGGTCAAAATAAACAGGAAGGTGAAGTTGCCGCGGTCACAGCTGTGTGCCTGACGACTGGAGACAAATGACGGCTTTCAGCCGAGCCATCCGATTGAAAGCATCGGCCCCGCAGTACGGTCCCGCTTATGGCGCTGCCCCTCATCGATCGTCGAGGCCTGGTGATGCGGCGCCTGCATAGAACACGTTTGGAACAATGCGGCGTTTTGACATCGTGACGTTTCGGCGGCCTACACCGGTTTTCTCGTACGTAAAATGAGGCTTCTAGACCCCCTTGGTCTGCTGAAATGCCATCATGCCAAACTATGCATATGTTTGCAGCATCGTGGATGACGGACGGCCATCGCAAGAGTTGCTTTCGACGTCTTATGCTGTGGGCCGGTGTGACGTGGGTCAGACTGCGCATGCAGCAAAATGCATGGCAGAGAATTCGAATGAGTTTCCGCATCCACGGTGGAGAGTCTTGGCTGCGGCTTCTTGCGGTTCAGCCCTCAGAAGCGGACGTTTAGTTGCAGATCCTGGTAGTCTAGAAAAAGGTCTCCCCGTTTCCTTGCATGGCGCCAGACGACGCGGCATGGGTCGTCAACGAGCACCACGACGTCCCAGGAGACGTGCGCCAGCAACGTGGTTCTCTGGAAAGGTCTGACACCGTACCAGCGATATGCAGGTGCAAAGTGAGCTGGCTGGGCCCTGCGCGACAAAGAGAAGAAGACTAAATGTGGCCGGTAAATGGCTCAGTCGTGGCGTAGCTGCTGATGTCTAACCCAACGCACGGTCGTCCCACTATGAGCAAGGGCTACCTGGGCCGTCGTCATCTTGGAGCGCGAAATAGAAGCGAATATTGGCTTTGTGTCATTTGCTCCTCTCTAAAAACCGTATTACTGGCCTTTCCGGTGTGTGGCGACGTGCTCCGCAGCTGGGTTAATGCAGCGATGTTGGCTAAGTTAGTCAGGTGGTGCCACTCAAATGCAGTTGTATCAGACTATCTGCGTCACGCAACATCCATCCTGTGTGCCGTCGAACAACGCAGATTAGATACTTGCTATGAGCATCGTGATGTGTGCTATAACAGGTATTGCATGCATAGAGCTCAAAGTAGTCTGGCGCTCAACAAAACATTACACCGCTCAAACAGGCAAACCTGGGGAAGCGCTACGGGAGCGCGATGGTCCAGGGGTAACAGAAAACAAATGGCGCATTCATGGATGGCTAACCGGCATGTATCACGCTTCTGTACTAGGAAACAATCTGCCCCCAATTACGTTGCATTGGTTCGGGCTGATCGAGATGCATGCATCGGTGTCTCTTGTGTGGAACTTATCGTGACGGCGCGATTCGTTCTGTTTCTGATTGTGCGGTGAAGCTTCCGAAGCCCTTGCGATCGTGATTGAATGGTGCCTCGATCCTAGCCCTCAGCCACGTATAAAGACATCATCTGCTGCCCATCTTTCTCTCGAAGCAGCAAACGCATCCACAGCAACTCTACAACCAATCTCGAGTTTCCAATCTCGAGTTTCCAATCTAAACTCTTTCGCAACAAGACGGGATCGACACCAGAGAACTACCCTCATACAAACCTCGAACTACCTACCGCAGCCAATCAGCTCCGCCTACATCACGACCCACACCATCCACCTATCATCTATCATCTATTAGAATTCAGACATCATGCCTGCTCTTCCATTCAACTCGTCCGCTGCTTCGTCACCTTCATCTTCACCCACCTTGTCGCCTACCATGACGCCTTCAATAGTTCTCCATCCCGCATCGGGTATATTTGATCAACCATACTAAAGCCTCCCATCTAATCTCTCCAGCAGGTGTCTCATCACAGAAGAAGGAGCTTCTTAAGCCAAAGGAAGATCCTGCGCAGGCTTACCGCATTCGTTATGCGCAGTACCTCGCAGCCACCTTTGGCTTCTCGATGCAGGCTGCGCTTGCCGAGGCGGATGTTCAGCTCGCGCCGAGACGCTCGTCAAGTTCGAGCATGTCGGAAGCTGAGTCGTTACGCGCGATTTGAGCTGGGCGGACTGCAGAAGGGTGTTTTATGACTTTATGATGCATATATAGGGTAATGGGCATTGGGATGGGGTATTTGGCGCATAGTGAGATGTTTCATAGTGCACAATCAAAAGCGTTCTCTGTTCTACCATAAAGACTATCACCTCGTTGTGACTGCCTCTCTCTTCGTGATAATAAGTGTATGCGCATGGGAGCCTTCAACCAGTCGGAAGCGTACCAGTTGATGCGAACACGCTGTGTTGTAGGAAGAGTGCCTCGGTACGGTCGGACGCCGGAATTGTGGGAGCTGTGGGAGCAGGAGCGCAGAGGCCGCAACTGCCACCCCCACCACAACCCGCCACGCCAGGTCCAGGTCTCCACGCGCTGAGCTTGTCTATCGATACGGAGACTCAATTTCAACGACATCTCATGTCCTGCGATGTCTTTTATATCCCAAAGAGTCCTGTCGCGCCATCATCTTGTTCCGAAAACCGCCGGTCGCTCGCTGTGTCGCCAGCCGAACGTACGCTCCCCAGACTGCTCGGCCCAATCCTCTACGACAATGCTCACTCGGCCGCGCGACGACTGCTCGATGCGTTGCAGGTCTAGTGCAGTGTCTCTACGCGTCCCTATCAAGGCGTATTGGCTTGCGAGACGTATCATTGGCGGTGCCGCCACACCTAACGCCGTCCAAGCCTGAAGTGGCATACGTGGCAAACATCAACCTGTCATATGCGACAGCGCTGCTTACTATCGTATCTCGACCCCGGAATCCATTTCCCAGACGAATCCTCCTGTTGTCCAAAAGCATAATATGGCTCCACACACATCGCGCAAAACGCGGGGTTTGGTTGCCTCAACTTCAACGGGCAAACATTTGGTACCGAAGAGTACTCCGATAGATCTCAACGCCAACAGCCGAGACATCTCGGCATCGCGGCACAGTGCCTCAAAGCCACACAGATGAGACTTAGGACCGGAGAGCGGAGGCCGGATTGCTTGGGCCCGTCAGCCAAGATTCTTATCGTTCGGTCAATGAGCGTTCGAGTTAGTCCGGCCTCACTGCGTTCGCTGACTACTGGTCTTTGAAACCAAGCTGTGGGTACATGTTTGTCCGGAGCATCAGCTGATCACTATGTTTGTACCTGCTAATGCAATACTTGCTGCGACAAAGACATGTGCAGCCATTCATGTGGCGTGGTGGACAAGAGGTTCCAAGCCTCTCCACGCTTGGATGACCCACGTCGTTCGTCTAGCGTGCTAACCCCGCCTAAACCTGGTAGGACAAGCTGCCTATAACTACTCCCCCGCAAAGGCGTATCTTTGCTCTCTACCACCAACACTATCCGTGTTATCACATATACTTGAATGGGTGAAACTGTGCTACTTGCCGTCGAGGAGACCTCTCCTAACGTCGATGAACCCCCTATATGTGGTAGTAAGGATCCGCATACTGCACCAAACCAAAGGCAACTCCAGCCGAACCCCATCGATGGCGACACTTCGCCTACACTCCACGCTCCGCACACCCTCACCTCCGAGGAAGTTGCACAGACTCTGGGAGTCGACATCCAGTAAGGCTCACTGTTCATGCTCGCCGCTCTCGTGCTCTTGCTAACTATCGCAGCCATGGACTCCCTCACTCTGAAGCGCAATCTCGCCTCCAGCTCTATGGCCCTAACAAGGTTAAGGGAGCTGAAGGGCTTTCCATGTGGAAAATTCTGTTAAGGCAGATCTCGAACAGTCTCACCTTCGTCCTCATCATTGTCATGGCCATTAGCTTTGGCATAGACGACTACATCGAAGGCGGCGTCATCACCGCAGTTATCCTCCTCAACATCGTTGTTGGTTTCTGGCAGGACTACCGAGCCGAGAAGACTATCGAATCTCTCAAGAAACTCACCGCACCCGAAGCTACCGTCACACGCCAGGGCACAATGGACATCAAAGTCAAGGCCGTGGACCTGGTTCCTGGCGACATCGTCCAGCTCTCCGTTGG